TTGTGGATCTGTAAACGATTGATCTTGAAGATAAACGATTCCAAATTGTTCACGTAATAACACGTTTGATTTCAGTTGTTCAATAGCGGAATTGATTTCTTTAGGGCGTCGTTGTCGACGAGAATGAAATCGTTTAGATTCATGATTACCAACAATTATTATTTTTAAACGATATTGTGTTAAAGTTTTTAGCCAATTTAAAAATATTTCGACTTCGCCTTGGGTTCCATTTCGCGTAAAATCACCAGAATGAAGAAGAATATCAGCATCGGGCAACGGAAAGTCATACTCATTATGTGTATCACTAATACAAGCGAATCGAACTAACGATGTCATTGTGGTAGTAAGCAATCGACAAAGAAATGAAAAACAACTTTACAACAGACTACACTAGCCACACAAGCCGTTCTCTGTACGCTGAAAAAGTTCCGAACAAGAGAATGTCACTGTTAGATATTTCTTTTTCACCTTTGGCCAAGCATTCTTGAAACAGACGAAAATCCTGTGATATTTATGCTGAAAAAACATTTCTCTCTGAAAGTGCTTAGCCAAAGGTGAAAACTTGTTTTTCTAAAGTACATGCGAAACATATCTCATCCCGCGTCCTGCAATCCCGTGGAATGGTGCAGCACGTACTCAGACTTTGGAAAACGAGGAAGATTGTCTTTAAAACTTGTTTTTCTTTCATTAAATATTTTCTAATCTCAATGAGAACCACTTCATCGGATAGAGCTTAAACAGATGCGTTGAAAAACGTCGCATATTTCGTTATCTTGTGTTGATATGATTTTATGAGAAAAATATGGTTTACAAAAAAGGCCTACTTTTCGGAAAAAACGATATTATTAAAAATTCTCCTGAGAATATGCTTAACATTTTGGAACTTTTTATCCGCTAATGATTTTGTAGCTTGGCGCATATAGAATCTAATCCGACGGTACCAGATCGATGATATTGACAGTGTTTTGCATATATTTCTGCCTCTGATTTGAGCTAAGCTTTGCTCTTTCTTTTAAAGCGTTCGTTGTGAAGTTTTGTACAAGATTTCTATTGAACGTTTTGCTTCGAAATATAAATTTAGAGTAGTATATCGTTTATCTCTCATATACCTAAATATCCCACTTTCTAACCAAAAAATTAGATTCTTTGAACTTTTTCTCCTGTTCATATACAAAATTAGATTTTTTTTCATTCACCTATAATTTCGATTTTTCTATAGTCTCGTTGATCCATGTCGAGAAAAGCTCTCACTAAGACAAGTCTAAACCGGGCTCGGTCTCTCTAGTGCCATTGCAAAGAAAAATAATTTTCTCCGTATCCTTTGTTAAAAGAAATGTGTTAACCTACACTCGTGAAAAAAGGAGCAAAAATAAGACATTTTTTTCAAATTTCAATGCACGAAATCTAAAACCGTTGCTCCCATTATATCAAAGGACCTTTAACATAAAAGAATGTATATGTGAAAAAGAGGACACTCCGAAGTATCTCGAAAAATATAGAAATGAATTTTGAAATGTCAGCTCACAATCTGGACAATTTTTGAAAAAATCTGATGTTTCGGTTAGAAAGCGGAGGGATTTGAGTATATGGGAGACGAACGATATATTACTCTAAATTTATATTCCGAAGCAAAACGTTCAATAGAAATCTTGGACTGAACTTCACGACAAATGCTTTAAAAGAAAGATCAAAGCTGAGTTCGAACCAAAGACCGAAATATATGCAAAATACTGGCAATATCATCTCTTCTGTAACACCCGGTAGAAAACACTAAGAAAACTAAAACAAAACAAGAAGTAAAAAGTGATCTAGTATATAATCGACATGAAAAAGCAGTTCATTCAGAATAGATGACGAATGTAGTTTTGGATACAGCATACTCGATAATCTAGTTGGAAATACCAATTTTAGCTCGATGTATTGCCAAAAGTCTGAGAAAATTTTTAAAACTAACATTATTTTACTATGCAAAACTTTATACGCATTTTGATCAGAAAATTTTCTCAAACTTTTGGCGATACGTCTCGTCCAAAATGAAGAATTCTTAAGTTATCCGCTGTGTTACATCCAAAAATGCATGGACTTTATTTCCACGTCACGATGATATGTTTCTGAACTCGAAACAAAGTGGAAATTTTAAAGCCACAATGAAAAGCGTAGTGGATTTTACTGTCTCCATGGTGCAAAATACAAGTCAAAACGAAAATAAGTTAATAAATGACTCATACAAATATCGATGATCTCAGAAGAGTAAAAATTTTATTGGCTAAAATTTACCATTATCAGCATTATCAAGACTTCACACTGGTGAAACAACACACTTTGGAGGGCTGCAATCAAGTAAAATTTCATGAGTTTCATTAAAAAAGCGGTATTTCTGGAAGAGTTACAATAGTTGTTGTGTAGCGTCTGTTTCAGAGCAGAAAGAACTATATAAAGGAAGATGGCTCCATACTGACATCTGTCAAATAAGCTTATTTGCTACATCTCTTAGAAAAACGTTGAATCTGTAAAAAATCCTCTTTAAACTTTAGTATTCCATCGGAAGAGAAGCTTTTAGCTTGAGAAATTAAAGCCGGTTTACACGTTGATTTTTATTGGCTCTGCGTTAAACTTCATTCAGCAGTTTTCTGTTCCGAATGATTTAAGAGCCAGAAAATCGACCGAAGTACCATGGTGTCGTCCGGCGATAAAATGTCTTTTTTTTATGCCATTCAGAAGAGCATTCTATTAGGGGTCGCCGATGCATCCAAAAAACGCGAATGTTCACGAAGGTCAATAAAAGGCAAAATCGAACCCCTTACACATATATCTTATATTAACAGATCTGATGTAGTTTTTGTCCGCGGTTAACTCCAACACATCTGTAGACCTTAAAAATCGTTTTTAGTACCCCAAGGGTAGGAAAATCGAAAAATTTCAATTTGAAGAAAAAACCGTTAGAACGGTAAGAAAAACGCGTTTTACCCAGCGCGTTAGAAAACGTTGAAAGTTTGCCGTTGAACTCGTTGAAAGAGTCGTTTAAACGCCTTTTTTGTCGTTCAAAACTTTAGAATAACGCGTTCGTCCACAACGCGTTTGCTAACGATCGTTAAATTAGCCGTTTTCTGGCGCTTTTGTTAAACGCGTTTTCTAACGACGTCAAAATAGAATAACTTCGACTTCTTTTTTCTAACTCGTTTAGAAACGACAGGTTAAGACGCGTTTTTATACAAAATGAATGCGTTTCAACGACCATTTTAACGTCGTTAGAAAACGCGTTCAACAAAAACGCCAGAAAACAGTTAATTTAATGATCGTTAGCAAGCGGGTTATTCTAAACTTCTGAACGACAAAAACGCGTTTCAACGTCTCTTTTAACGATCGTTAGCTAATATGTTTCGCGATAACGCGTTTTTTGTGCCCTTTCGAACGATTTTATTCGCCTGGGCCATGGAAAACTTGTCGTAAACAAAAGGTTACTCCGAGTATTTTCGTTATTTCCTTTCTTTCACTTAGAGCAAGTCTCAACTAGCATAATACGATTCGATAGAAATTTCATGAAATTATTATTTCACGTCAATTACTCTTAATCCTGCAGTGAGTTTACATACGATCATGCAGAAAGAAGTCTAATGAGATAATAAATAGAGTAAACTTGACACTGAGCGATTGTTGAAACAAAAAAGCTGGATAGATAGAATATCCTTTACCGAATACCTATGTAAGGTGAAGATACAAGAAACATGATGCCAAGTATGTTGAAAAATTCATTTCAATTCCCTAGTGAAAGTACTGGTAACCAAGGACTTGGATAAGAACTTAGTACAAGGAATGTCACAAGAACTTGGTTGCGAGTTCAAGGACTTGGATATTTGATAAGTAATTTACTTGAACCAAGTACTTGATCAAGTACTTGTGTCAAGAACATTCTAAGTCTATGAGTGCACCGTATGTAAGTTTTTAAGTCCTTATAAGTAATATTATTGCTTTTACAACGACCAGCGGGTTGGACAAGTCTTAGTTGACTGATGAAAGGTGTAAAAAAATGCTAAAGTCAATTTCGACGAAAAATGTCGATCAGGTCTCACCGTCTTTGTACTTTACTAAATTTTTCACGAAATTCGCAAAAGTTTGATGTTTACCCTTTAAATTATCACAAGATTTTTCCAAATTCTGATGTTCTTGTCAAGTATTTAAGGAAAGTTTATGAAATTTCCAAGTTTTTCGAGATAGAAATATAAAAGTCTACATTAAAAGACATTTGTTTGTTTCCTTATTAAAGAGGAGCAACACTCTTAATCATAGACAAATACTATATTCACTTTTCGTCTTCTTTCGCAATTCGAATAAGTTCACATGCATAGGAAAAACAAACTAAATTACTGCGAAACAGTAAAATATACTTGTACAGAAAATATTTTCCTTGTTAATTGTATCTACACTGGTGACTGTTTAACAATTATTCTTTCTAAAAACATTGTTCATATTTCTGTTGATGTTTTATCTAAAACTGAACTATCAATGGTTGTTGGTGATTTATCTATCCCAAATGGTGGTGGCATTGTTTTAGCTGCTGTTGCTGCTGCTAAACGATCAGATTTCTTTTTAGCGTTACTTTTGCAATCATAAGGAAGTTGTGCCATTGAACCTTCTATTTCCCGCCAAACTGATTCTATATCTTCATCACGTATTTTGCACATTTCTTGAACAACACCTAAACAATGACCGAAAACATATATTATTATTCAACAGCGAAAGTACAAAAGCTATGAATACACTCTAAAAAAAAGAATATTTCAAAAAGCCCTAAAAAGAATTTTCCATTTGAGAAAAACCAAAAAAAGGGTATAACCATGCGTGAAAAATGTTTAAAGGGTATAACCATTTGAACCATAGCATAACTGTTTAAAAGTTTCTTATTCTTATCAAAAAACTAATTTCGTTTTCTAAAATACGGCTAAATTATGTTTTGAAAAACGAATAAGTTCACATGCATAGGAAAAACAAACTAAATTACTTCGAAACAGTAAAATATACTTGTACAGAAAACGTTTTCTTTGTTAATTGTATCTACACTGGTGATTGTTTCACAATTATTCTTTCGAAAAACACTGTTTATATTCCTGTTTAAGAAATCATGAAATTATTATTTCACGTCAATTACTTTTAATCCTGCAGTGAGTTTACATACGATCATTCAGAAAAAAGTCTAATGAGTTAATAGAACATATTTATGGGCTTTTTATCCCGTATTTTTTTGAAAATATTTTTCTGCTGTGATAAACCGTAACTGTTACAAGAGACGCTTAAAGTGTTAAACTTATTTTTGCAACAAATTTATCGTAGTTTATATACGGAACATCTTCTCAATCTTCTTAAATTCAGACTATTTCACCCATACTCGAAGAAGTACATTTTCGTAATAAGTTTTGAATTCTAAACAAACTGACGCATTCGATTTTGTACAACAACAACTTTCATTTTTGGCTCAATTTCTAGCCGGTTGGAACACGAAATTTTCCGACAACTCATTGAGAAGTGAATATACTTCTTTAGATTCGGAATCCGAGGCTTGTTACGAATCTGATGTTTACTTTGCACTTACTGTTCGACCAGTATCAGTTTTGAGACAAAAAAAAGATGAAATTCCATGGCGACGACTATTTTCGAAGTTTCTTTGAGTGGATTGATCTGTTTCAATAAAACGAGCAGATATCCTGTAAGCTCGTTTCAAATTCTGCAACTTTTGTCGGGAAAGTTTTCCTGTAGCTATCTTAGTTTCATATAAAAATGCAATGCTTTGGTGCCCAATCCATGAAGAATTCCATCTTGGAAAGTCCGTGACAGGACGGTATTTTTTTAATAATTCCCAGACCACTCGTCCAAACGTTGTCAAATTTTTAACGGTGGTAGAAAACGTGACTATCAATCTATAGTAAAAGTTCCGAAGCTCCTGCTTTATCGAGTTTAACAGAGACCTACCTTTTGCGGTATAGCGGTATAGAGTACTTTGTCGAAGACGTTTTGAAAGTCTAAAGAAATCCTTATCGTTTTTGTCCAGTGTTCTGGATTTTCTACAACTGTGTTACGTAAGTAAGGGCGTCTATTATTGAGGATCTGAGTATAAATCGAAAGTGACTCGGCATAGAAGAATTGGAAGATGACTGAAAATAGAAGATATGGCTGTAAACGACTTTTTCTAAAACTTTACCGAGGCATGAAAGAATAGAGATGGGACAATAGTTCTCAACTGCAAATTTATCTCTCTTTTTCTGTAGCATTCGAAGAATAGCTTGTTTCCAGATGGTAAAGAACAAGCAGATTTGGAGATGAAGAGAAAACATGTGATGTAACTGCGAAGAACGAACGTCTGCACATAACTTTAAAAACTTAACGGAGCTTTCACCAATGCCGATGGATATTTGATTTTTCAGCTTATGAATTACTTGGAAAACATTGGCAACACTAAATTTCACATTAGAAAGTTTTTGCATATTAAAAGAACAAAAGGTGAAGCAACTAATCTGGAGTTTCACAGGGTTTCTAGAACACCTTCAAAGCAAAAAGTCTTTTCTTGCGGTAGTGGTTATTATATAATACTGACTATCTGTCTTAAACTTTTTCTGTTATTCTGCTTAATTCTGAGTGAGTTATGAGTTTCTTATTGCTGGATGAAAACAGCTAAAAAACCCTAATTTTCGTAAAACTTGATGTTCATTCGACTTCTGAGATTTTCTCTTCAAAAGTCAAACGTCATGACGCCACTCGCTCTCGCGCACTCAGGATGTCATTTTTAGATCACATCGAGAAACGAAGCACTAATTCTCCGATAAACGCCCTAACCGTTGAAGATCGAAGTTTCGGACGAGCCGCAAATCAAACCGGAAACTTTTAGCTACCTTCAATGTAACGAACGAAACACACGATTACTTGAGTTATTGGAAAACCAGAGATCCCCACAAATCCACTGTGGAGTCAAATTATTGAACATTTTCTTGCTAGAGTAAACACATCAGTTTCTTCATTGACTAGAGAAAACAACAGATCTGTATTTATCTTTCTTCATATATTCACAAAATGTTAAGTACATTATATTTCGAACTGTACGGCCGATGATGGACAGAATGGTATGCTCTGGCTACAAATTTTCGGTTTTCTCCCATTTCATCGCTGCAATTAAGAAAAATATTTCACAAATATTTGCCAAGTCAATGTACTGTTGCCTAGTGAAATATAGATGGTGAGGTGATTTTAGACTATGTTTATGCCATCTATATATCAATATAGACAAAAAAAGGAAATTTAGCTGGTGACTTAAGAAAAAATAGAAAATTGCACATCAACAATAAGAGTTGCGAAACAATAGGATCTATTATCTTTGACAGTTATTTGAATATTCACTGTCGCTGAGCAATAATTTCCACGATTGAGCCTTGACAAGGCAACCGCAATATATGTTTCGTTCACATAATGTTTCTTGAACGTATGATCATAGACATATGTTCATGTAACTATGTAACCTTCTTGACGAATGTAAACTATATAAGGAATCGATGGTGTATTTCCCGTTGAATCATATTCTGGGTACCAGTATAACTGCGTGCAACTAAAACGACGTTGTGAGTAGAAATCATCAGTCAATTTCATACTTTCATTGGAGTACGTATCGAGTGTTGTACAACTACCCAGGTCCAATAGACACGGTCGTAAACGACCGTATACGGCAATGTACGGCGATATACATTAGCCGTATACGGCGGTTTACGACTGCCGTATACGGTGAATTTCCTGTGATCTGTGTTCCTTGGAATTCCATCCCAAAATGTATTCTTATAAGTTTTTCGATATGAACTAGTATTCGTTATGTGATCAAAATGGCATCAAATTGTTCTTTTGATCAACTACCCAGGTCTAAAAAAACGGCTCGTTACCGTCTAGTTAACGGTCACACAAAAAACGGAGTGTTAACGTTCTCAAAACAGCAATAAAACGGCCAGTAAACGGTGGCCAATCTCTCGGCGGCACCTTACAATTTATTTCCACTTCAGCAAACTATGACTCCTATACTATATATGGAAGTTTGACGGAAGCTGTGGTTAGGTATTTTCATACATGGGAGACCACGCATGGAAAGTCATGGTATTTATTGCAAACATGAATAGCAAATTCACACTTTTGTTTACAAGCAATATGGTATAACCAGAATGCGCTGGATTTATAATTCTAGATACGTGTGTCCTGGCAATCCTGGCAAACAATTATAATTGTATCTATGTGAGTGGTAAGCGATATTCAAGACGATACAACGCATGGGTGACGTCCTGAAGCTCTATATACATCTTCTGTAGAAGATGCTGGAAACGAAAAATAATTTTTTCTAAACTAACCGTTTACGACCGTAAACTGTCACGGCGCAGTTACGACCGTAAAACGGCCGGCGTATTTACGGTGTAGTTACGGTCGTTTACTGCCGTATTTCCACCGTATACGGCCGTTTACGATGCAAATACGACCCCAAACGGTGATTTACGGCGGTCATATACGACTGTATACGGTCGTTTACGGCAGTCGTAAAACTGGACCTGGGTATTGTAATCCGCAATCATGCGTATACCTTTTTTGCAATTGTGTTAGTCACCATGGCAGATCAATATAAAACGAAATGATAAAACAAAAGGCGAGTGGAGCACAGTTATCTAAAAATATAGATATAGTCACATCAAAAGTAAATAGACACTTTCAGAATCAAAAAAAGCACAACGATGTTGATCGTAGACAAATCGCTTTTTTCATTATTAAACTAAAGCCCATACAACATCAACCGAAATCACGGAGGTACGCCACCTAGACTTTCGCCAAGTGCGAGCGGCAGTGGAGTGCACTGGTGAAGTTCAATGTACCTACGCCAATTGGCGAATTTCCAGTTTGGCGAAAGTCATATTGGCGTACTTCTCGATTCTCCAACAAGTAGACAAAAATTAACCTAGTGGGGTGAAATAGTCTGAATTTAAGAAGATTGAGAAGATGTTCCATATATAAACTAGGATAAATTTTTTGCAAAAATAAGTTTAAGACTTTAAGCGTTTCTTGTAACAGTTACGGTTTATCACAGCAGAAAAATATTTTCAAAAAAATACGGGACAAAAGTCCATAAATCTGTTTCATAGAACAGACGCATTTGGGACGTTTATTATCGTTACAAGATAATGTCATTGATGTCATTAAAGTTGGATATTCAAACAATATGTTACTAAAAGATGGCATTCACTTAAATGTCAAAGGCACAATGTAGTTATCGGCATAAGCTTTTTCCTCTTCCTTCTATCCTAACATTTTCATCACGGAATACTTTACGATTCTCATCAGATAGAGCATGTCAAGTTACATATGAATCGAAATTTTTTTATTAAAAAGATTAGCCCTCTGGTGGGGAAACAGTGCTTTCAAAAGTACCAAACGATAGCACTATGGTCTTTAGAAAACCGTATTTTTGAGAGGAAAAACGCTTATCGTTTTCTTGTGAGATTGTTATAAGATTTCACAAATTGTTTTTGTCTAGGGTACCGGGATTAGAGAATATCTAAAGTTTTGTTTGCAAAGTTTGTACATTTACGGCTTCTGAGATACCTGAACTATAAAATAGGACAATATTTGTTATGCATTCAAGTACCCTCTCGAATAGTTCTCGTTAGAGAAATATTAATGCAAAATAATAAGACTTTTTCTTTAGTCACGTTTCCTACAGCGCCTCGATAGCTGACAAATGTAATGTAAAAAAGTACAGGTCTCATGTAGTTTTTCTCCGTGATCAAAACTAGCACCTCAAACCATTTTCACTCCCCCCTGGAAAACATTTCGCATACAAACTTTTCTCTCCTGAGATGAACTTTATTTAGACTACTTTTCTCATTTCTTCTCTTTGCTCAAAGCAAACCTCAACTACTGTACACCACTCGATAGAGAATTTCACGGGCTACAAAATGATATATAAAACGTTGAGATCAAATTGGATCTGGGTGTCCTAACACTATAAATACTATTGAAAAACCATGTTTCGGCATCGACAGATAGGCTAAGTCCATAAAAACCAACCATCATTTACATTAACCTTTGATGTCACTGACGAGACCTACCTCATATTATAGAGCTCAGCAAGCTGAACCGAATGGTGAAAACCGCAAGTGTATAGTCTTGTTAGAAAAAGAGCTATGGCCATTTTAAAGAGTCGAAAAAGTTCAAACAAAAATGGGTTTAACCAGAACTTTCACAATCACCAGATTATATAGCCTAGATTATATCGGTAACATCGAATAAAAAAACCGTCTCAGAAGTTGTTAAAACTCATATGTAGGTTGCAAAACTCATGTAACGGTTGCAGTTTAATCACAGATCAAATGATGATGAGGGTATGTCTTTAGATGAATATCTGTTGTGTTATCGAATGTTGTATTGCTAAGTAACAAAAGAAGATCAGTATACAACTGACACATTACAAAAGAAACTATCATAGTCTTTTAAGGTTTCTCAAGTTTAAGATTCAATTCTTGAATTGCTATTTCTCTCATTTCTACCTTACGTATTTTCCCAGTTACGGTAACTGGAAAAGCTTGGACAAATTTCCAATATTGTGGTATTTTATAATGGGAAATTTGA